CGCTTTGCTGTGCCTGCTCCTCCAGAGCACCCTCCAGTGCCAGCACCACGTAAGCGCTATCCTGATCCCCAGTACCGCCCTGGAAGGGCTCCAGATCCTCAGTTCCGCCCAGGAAGGGTTCATGTCTCCGAGTTAGGCCCAGGGGGGGCGTCTGCTCCGCCCTGGTGGGCTCCTGTTCAGTCTGCTCTGCCATGGAGGTCTTCTGCTCCGTCTGCTCTAAGCTATGGATTCCGCTCTCTCAGGGCCAAGTATTGTTCTGCGTTTAGCACTCCCCAAGTGTTAGCTGCTTTACCGAGCCATTCCGTGTTTCTGTTTAGTCTCTAGTTTTGTTTAGCGTTTATCTCTCCTCTAGCGATAGCTACATTACTGAGCCATTCCTTTTCCCATTTTTAGTTTTAGTCTGGTCTAGTCTTTCCGTGTTGCCTTGTTGTCTGTTTCCTGACCTTCTGCCTGTGTTTATTGGATTACCCCTCTTGTCAAGCCCTCTGGATACTGTTCACTGATCGTAGACCCACGCTAGCCCAAGGAATATTCTTTGTCTTGCCTGTGCCATACCTGTTTGCTGTTGTTCGACCCTGCCTGTGTTTGACCACTTCTCTTGTGAATAAAAGCTTGCACATGGATCCGCACGCCTCTCGTCTCGTCAGCCCCGTTACATGTCTACTGTAAAAACCTAATTTTAAAGTTTATTTTGTTTGTTTGTTTTGTATGTTTTCATGCACTAAGCAAAGATTCTAAATTAATTTCTGTGGTAATTGACAGAATTTAAAACAAAAATCAGTAACGTTCTAACCAATCAGACTTAACTGGTAGTGGACCATCAGATTTCCCAACAGTTGACAAATGTAAACGCATATAAGTTTAGGCTCACTGCACCCAAAGAGCAGGCAATGTCAGTCTGTGAATAAATAACTCAACTGGAGTCATCAGATCAAGTGTGAATTGAGTCACAAGTAATTGCAATGAAGTCTAAAAACAGACTCCAGTCTGACTCAAGTCCAAGTCATGAGTCTGAAGCCCACACTTTGGAGAGGGAAAAAATAAGCTATAAAAAAAGACATGCTCTAACCAGATGTGATGTGATAGGTTTCTTGATCCAAGCAATTTGTCTGTCTGAATATGAAAAAGCATCGTGACACAATCAAAGCCAATCAGAACATACCTGAAGTTTAATTTGTAGCGATTTGGAGCAGGATTTTGGATCAATGTCACTTCACAGTGGGCCAGACTACACAACACTCTGACACAAACACAGAAAACAAATGATAAGAAAACTCAAGTTAACATGGCCGAGATGGGTAGCAATGTTGCAATACATATGGGTCTTGTATATATGAAACATTGTAGAGTAGGGCATTAGATTATTACTTGCACTACCAATCAGTGGTTTGGTGTCAGAATGGGGTTTTTTTTAGCAAGGATGCATTTAATTAATCAAAAGTGACAGTAAAAACATTTATAATTGGCTATTTTGAATCATATTTCAAATAAGATTTTTATTCCAAATGAATGCTGTTCCTTTCTATTGCTGTAGCCTTTTTAGAATACTGTAAAAAAAATATATATATATATCATGGTATCCACAAAAATATTAAGCAGCACAACTATTTTCAACATTTCAACAAAAAAAAGAAAGAAGGAAGAAGAAAACAATGTTTCTTAAGCATCAAAAATAAAAATAAACATATTAGAATGATTTCTAAGGGATCAAGTAACACTGAAGACTGAACACTGAAGAGTAATGGCTGCTGAAAATGTAGCTTTGCCATCACAGGAATAAGCTACATTTTAAAATATTTTCAAATAGAACAGTTTTTTAAAATTGTAATAATATTTCTTAATGTGTGGTGTGGTGTGGTGTTGGGTGGGTGGTAGGGCTGGGCAATACATATTGAATATTCATTATATATTCAAAAAGTTAGTAAGTTTGATTTATTTTCATAAATCATTCATTTTCATAAACTGTCTGTTTCAATTAATTGGTGCAATGTTGCAAATTGTTTTATCAGTTTGTTGAATTGTCACTTAAAATTTTTCACAGAAAAAAAAATAATGTATTAAAATATTACACTACTGATTTTTACAATATTTATATTCTTAAGTGAAAAATAGTGAAAATATGCTTTAATAATTTAAAGAATTTTACAGCTTTTTACAATTACTGAAAATATAGACCCACACTATATACACAAAGGTTTGGAGTCATTATTTGATTTTAAAAAATACAGTAATATTGTAAAATATTATTACACTGTAAAATATTTTTTTTAATGATTTTTATTCCTGTGATGGCAAAGCTGAATTTTCAGCAGTCATTACACGAGTCTTCATTGTCACATGATCCTTCACAAATCATTCTAATATGCAGATTTGGTGCTCAAGATTCATTTATTATTATTATTATTATTATTATTATTAAAACTGTTAAAACTGTAATACATTTTTCAGGATTCTTTGATCAATAGATAGTTATTGAAATATAATTTAATTATCATTTTATAATAACATTATCAATGTCTTCAGTGTCCCTTTTGATCAATTTAGTGTGTCCTTGCTTAAAGGGGTCATATGATGCGATTTCAATTTTTCCTTTCTCTTTGTAATGTTACAAGCTCTTGGTGCAATTGGCTTTTAACCGTGGACAAAGCGGAGCCCAGCCCGGAGTCGTCACATGTCCTTCCGGACGCTCCTTCGTCGAAATCGCAATTTCTTTTAAAAAAAAAAAAGTACTTTTCTGTTTTCTGTTAATCGGCTGAAAATATCATGCTATAATTTAAGCTATATATCACCCAGTCCAGTCCAGCAAATGAAAGGTTATTTCTGCATGTTAGACGTGAATATACCCGTGATGTATACTGACTATAAGATATCTCCAATCAGAGTGGGAATGGAGTCTGTTGATGGAGAAACTGATGTCCAGCAGCTTTGCTCATCTGGCTCTGAGGTGGAGCCTCGAGATGATAGCCCACCCATGACCAGCCCTTTTACCTTCTCCACATCTTTTGAGGAGGATATTTTGGACCTTAAGTGATGACAATCACAGTCTGTGGATCACAGTGCACCTCTCACCTCCTACTAACTTTTACTTTAAATCATTCTTTTTACCATGTTACGTTGAATTTTGTGTTTTCCTCAGTCTGCCCACTCATCTGTTTGTGCAAATGAATCCCCAGAGCTTTAAACTTGAAGGAATTTACAGTGTGGTGATGTCAAAATGTACTCCTGGTGGATGTATGCATGTGTGTGTGTGTGTGTGTGTGTATGATCCTGTGTTTACTCTATAAGAAAGATAGAAATACAACTAGAAAATCAGATTATCATTAAACTTGAAGGAGTTTACAGTGTGGTGATGTCAAAATGTACTCCTGGTGGATGTATGCATGTGTGTGTGTGTGTGTGTGTGTATGATCCTGTGTTTACTCTATAAGAAAGATAGAAATACAACTAGAAAATCAGATTATCAACTATCATTTCCAAATTCTGTTCGAAGAAGAAAAACAACTGACCAAAAATGTCCAAAAACCCCTAGAATCTAAATTAGTCAAGGCTTGATTTAGTTTCTGTGATTGATGAGACACATTCTCCATCCGCTTTGGGACAAATTTGTAGCTTTGTAGCAAACTTGTAGCCATATACAAGATATTTTTTAAATGGCGTGAAAGGTTTGAGCCACAATTTAAGGTCAAGGCAAAATATTTATTTTCACTCCAAGGCTTGAATGTAAGATTGACGCTCCTAAAAACAATGAAACAAATTTTTAAACTCCTTATTTTGTGTTTTTCAATGTTTTCTATGTTTGTGATTTGTACATTGTGTGATTATTTCAAAGTTGTAAAAAACTCTATATGCATCTCGAACCAGACGCACATGAACATACAAATGTAAACATATACATATAATTATATGTATATATATATACACACACACACACACACACCTTTCTAGTTCTATTGTATTATGGAGAAATAAAACTCACTTCTTGTGTATATCAATGTTATGGTCTAACCTGCCTTCAACCCTCACCATGCTTTTAAACCCTGACATGCAAACCTTCTGCAGAAAGGGCAGGAGTCTCCCACAAGTGCCATTTTCTACTGCAGCCGTCAACTACTAGCGCCCTCTATCAGACTGACCATGGATTGCATATGTCATGAGGCAGAAGCGAACAAAAACCATAACAATACACAATTTGGTCACTACATCTGGTACATCTGCAGCTGTTTACTATGCTAACAGTATGAGCTTTGATCCATGAACATACGCATTTACAGGCACACAGTCAAACGCATTCTTTAAGTGCTGTTGTTTCTTGAAAAGGGCTCTGGATCACCTGCATGCCTCCATTCAATCCCACTAAGAAATAAAAGGGATTTGATGTATTAATGGATTAGAATTAGGATGTATATTATCTTTACTCTTCTCATGTATTTGGTACACATTGAAAGAAAAAAAATATTTAAAAAATAATAAATATAAAAATCACCAATCTTTGTCTTGTTTTCTAGTAGAATCTAAACAATCTTAAAACAAGATTAATTTATTTGAGAAGCAAAGAGATGAAGACCTTTTCTATTTTTTTACCCCATTTTTTTTCTTGATTTAAGCATAAATAAAATATATATATATATATATATTCTTAGAAAAAAAAGTCTTAACAGGGATTATTTAAGAATGTTTAGATATTTTGTCTGGAAAACAACACAAAAATACAGAGAAATTATTTTTGCTGTGTAATTCGAAAATGAGAGTATTGATTCTGCTGTTTACAATTCAAACTCAGAGATGTTTAAAGAATGTCATCAAAGTGACACCAGAACACAAGAGCCTCAGGAACAGCACAAGAGGTGTAAGTATTAAACTGCTTAGCTGAACCCCATTCTCATCCTTTCTCCATCTGAATGTGAACCATTCAACACTAGTAGCAGTCTGGAATAAAAAGGGAAAACGGGAATATTTTTGTAAATTAAAAGTTTTACATATTATTTATTTGCTATTTGTTGTCTTTGAAGAGAATGGGTGAGCCAGAGACTGATGGAATAGATTTATCTTTCTTTTTTTCCCTTTGGCATTCTGTCCGTTGTCTTCCCCATCCTCCTGTTTTCGCAGTGGTTTTGTATCTATATCAATATTAACTGTTTAGACTGTTTCAGAAACTCTGTGATATCGGAAATTAAACAAAAATGAATTAAAAAAACACCAAGTGTCTTAAAACATTGTATTGCCATTGTTTTTAATGCCAAGTACTACTTGTAAATGTTTGTGTTTCAGATGTGGCCTCAAAAATATTACTATTATTATTATAACATTTATTTGAAAAAGTGCTGTAGCCCACTGCTGTAGTTAATATTGTTCATTGATATGAAATAAATATTTATGAAATGTACCATGCAGTTTGTGTTTTAACGGGTGTAAGTAGACTACAGACATGCTTGATTATTAACTAGCATTGTTGTGTGGTCTATTGAACGGTTTTTCGAGACAGCAACAGAGTTCAAGCCAGCAAGTTCTTATTTGCTGTCAACATGAAAGGACAACGAAGTTTTATAATTACCTATAGGTGGTAGTGTTGCTCAATCAAACTGTTCGGCTCATTCAGTGATTTGGTCAACATCACATTTACGCGGAGTTCGCTATCAGTGTGAGCAATCCTCGCCTAGAAGTGTGCGCGTGGTTGTCCTCGGGGACGCCGAAGCTACGATTTTCCGAAAGCTGCAACCTGATTGGTCCCTGTCTCTAAAGCCCATCCCTAGCCCTAACAGGACCTTAATCAGGTTATAGACTCCATATTGAATTTAACGAGGATGAAAACGATGAGGGATAATGTCACGTACTGTAAAGGCCGGGACACACCAAGCCGACTTCAAAGAACTAGCAGCGACGAAAGCCGACGGTGTTGTCGCCTCGCGTCGGCAGCGTCGGACCAAAAAGCTGCGCTCGAACACACCGCACAGACTACAGCCGACGGCAAGCTAACACATGCGTTCTGCACATGCGTGAGAGGAATTAACCGTCTATATCAGCAGCTATCAATAGTATATATTCGTCATTCAAAATGACAAACGGAAACAAAGATATTCGAGATAAACGCAGATACACGAAACGTAAACAAAGCAGCTCTTGCTTACCATTTTGAATATCAGTAAAGTTGATAACTTTAATCATTTTAAGCGACTCGTGTTGTTATAAAAACATTCCCGTATTAGAATGATTGGGAAAGATCACGTAACATTTAAACAGCCTTCTGTCTGTACCGCCTTCATTTACGTGCTTGTTTTCATCACTTTCGCTTTAATTCTCGGGCACTGACTCGTTCGCTAAACTGAACATCCAAGTGCCTAGTCCAAATACCCACACTTGCGGTCTTGGCCACTTGAGAGCGCGCGCGCGACAGGAAGTAAGTGCACAAGACTGCCAGGTCTTAAAGGGGTCATATGATGCGATTTCAATTTTTCCTTTCTCTTTGGAGTGTTACAAGCTCTTGGTGCATAAAGAAGATCTGTAAAGTTGCAAAAACTAAAGTCTCAAATCCAAAGAGATATTCTTTAAATAAAAGTTAAGAGTCAACCATGTCTACCTAAAACAGCTCGTTCTAACCCCACATGTCTAGGTCACTATGTGGAAATATTAGCATAATGCTGCCCAAATGTGCACGCAAAGGTGGCTTAGTGTATCCCATCATGCATCATGTTCTGGAAATCGTGAGACTTTTTGCCAAGATCTCGCGAGAGGTCACGAAAACCAATGTAAGTTAAATATTAATATAATAATTAGATATTACAAATAAACATCTCTGTTATAGGGACTACTGAACATACATTTAGAAGTTTATTTTAAAATGCAAAGTATTGAAAATAAAAAGCCGACGACGACAACATTTTTACAACGACGATGTCGGCCCGACGTTGGCCAACGGCCGACCGTCGGCTGACCGTCGGCTTGGTGTGTCCCGGCCTTCAAGGTCCTTTCACAACTCACAACTTTTACAACTGTTTTATGTTTTTTTGTTTTCTGCTGATTTATTTAATTATTTTTTATATTATATTATTAATATAATAATTTTATCGTAAGCTAAACAATCGGTATGTTGTTAAACCGTAGAATCCATTGAACGCACTACTTCTATCTCTCACGCTCACAGCATCGTTTTCATCCCTATAGCTGTCAACAACTAAATGTGGTGCAACCCTGAGTCTGGTCTGCTAGTGCTGTTTGATGACATAGTGTTTCATGACAAACTAGGTAGAGCTTTCACTGTGAATGTTATTTTTGGAAATTCGCCAACTGCTAAAATTTCTATTTATATTGCTTTTGCCAGATTGAGTATGATCACTTCTAAATCTGTTAGATTCATATTGTCAAAGAATTATGCATACTTTTGAATTGTGGCTTTCAATAACGGAGTCAATGTTAATTTACCTTTTTTTTTATTGGCATTATTTAAAAAAATATATATTTTAAATAATTTAGAGTAGCTGCTCTCAAAACAGCTCATCAACAGGCATTACCCCTAAAAGGTTCATAGTAGTGCCTTAAGTGTAGGCTACATATTACCACTCTAATGCCAAATTTATAGAAAGGTGGCATGAAAGTGCCTCTGAAGTGGCATTTAGGTGTCTTTAAACAGACTCTTTGATGCTGCTCAGTGGTGGCGTAAATGCATTTACACAGAGATTACAAATGTGCAAAGTTGCCCCTTTAAGAATACTGCTCCACTCACAAGCTGTTTTATTTTTGCACTTTTTTTTTTATAACAGGATATGACAGTTTATCACCATGTTTTTGCTTCTCTTTTTTTGTTGAAGACTTTCTTATTAACATCTCTGTAGGTTTAATTTCTGAGCACACATGTATGTATGCAGACATTTAGGCATACTGCCAGGGAAAATGACAAGCAAGGGCATGTTTCAGATCACTATGTATCATTATAGATTCAAATGCAAACTCAAACACCCGCTTCCCTTCATGCTCTCCAGCAAGATCACTTTTCTGCTGCCCTTTCACATATGTATCCTGATTTACTTCCACCATTGG